GCAGCTCCCAGGCTGAGCCACACTGCCCGGCGGCTCCTTTCCCCGTTAGATCATCGTCCTCTTGGCAGCGTTTGCACAGCAGTAAACACGGGCTTCTGGAGAGCTGCAGAGAAGGGGAGGGGGTCCGCACGCACCACGGAGAAAGTGGCTTTTTATGCTAAAGCTTCCTGTGTTTTAGGGCTCTCCCGTCAAAAATGCCCCTGGGGGCACCGTGCGGGATCTGTGAAGCTCAGCTTCTAAATCTCCACCCATTTCCTGTGCTCTTTCTTTTCAGAGAACAGCACATCATCACTGGACTGTAATCAGTAACTGTCCGTGGGAGTGAAAATCTGAAAGGAAGAGGTTTTTCCTTTGCATTTTGCGTTTGACCTAGCATGGTGATTCTGCCTAGTTGCTATGGAGGTGTCCTAGGGGAGAGGGAGAAGGACAAGCTCGGAAATTCCCTGATGAAGTTCCTCTGCAATTACAATACAAAATAAAATGCATTTCAAATATGATGTAGAATCCACTTATCTCTGCTTTTCCCAGCTTTTAAATGGAGGAATATTAGTCGTGCTGGAGCAGTTGTGGGAAAATTGTGGGAAAATTCAATTCCCAGTTGTCTTGTGGTAATACCACTCATTTCTATGTACCGTTGTGCACGGATGATGCTGCAGCCTGGGTCAGCATTTTGACCTGGACTGTGGCAGGGGAGCATATGTTTTGTATTGCATGCGGAGTGTACTTTACTTGAGCTGTTGCTTTTCTTTCCTTTTCACCATTTTAATTAAATGAGAAAAGCAATTGCTGCAGAGGACAAAAGCCATTCTCTATCTCACTCTGGTACTTTTTATTAAAATACATTTGAGTGGATACATTTTCCGGTGTTCTGCAATTGCTCAAAGCGGAATTGAATAATGTAGTATATAGACTTACTGTTTTCTTGGCCAAAAAAAAAAGGATGATCACAAACCCTCTGTTGTTTCTCTCTCCAGTGAATACAGAGGTTTGGTCAAACACACAGGAGGCTGTCACTGCGGAGCCGTCCGCTTTGAGGTCTGGGCTTCAGCAGATCTGCATGTTTTTAACTGCAAGTGAGTTTTTTTTTGTTCCCTATTCTCACAGATGAATAAAAGCTCGTATGCTTTTCCAATCCATACCTTAGAGCTAAAAGAAGATTACACAACTGCAGAACATCCTCTGAGCTGTTTCCATAGGGTATACCCCTAATTATGTCCTGATTCAATATGGGATCAGTGCTGGTGACTTCAGGCGCTCCTTCTTTGGGCAGGACTTCAGGTCTCACATCCATGCTCATGCAGAAAGTGTCAGGAGAGATCTAATGAGTACAGGTGCTCAGCCATCTGCTTTTTGTTTCCTCTAAGTGCAGTGTGCTCAAAGCACATCAATCCTTTTTTAACTTGGCCTTCTCAAGTGAACGTTACATCTCTGACCACATGTGCTTCAAACTACAACAGTGTCTAATTTCAATAGTGATCCCCCTTCGCCTGCAACTAGTTTGCTTCTAGCTCGTGGGTAAACTTCTGAATCTTACTTTCTTGTTTGCAAGGTAATTAATGTTGGCAAAATTGGCAAAGTCTAGTCTGACAGATTAAATGGATTTCTCTAGAGTTTGTCCTTGTTATGTCTGTTGAGAGTTTTATATGTGAAGAAAAAATAGCATATAATGTTTGGCGTAGGAGAATACCTTACTGGTGTACCGGTGTAGGGTCAGTCTGTTCCATGGGTGTGCTTAGCCAAACACTACTGATACCACGAGTCCACTTTTGCCGCTTACCTCTGTGATGCTAACCAGGAGCCATTTTAGCTGTCAGTGGAATTTCTGTTGTCAAGAGGTCCATGCTAGATCCGATTGCTGTACTATAACTTGTCCGCTGCTTCTAGAAAGGTCTGCTTTTTCTTTTACAGTTGCAGCATTTGCACAAAGAAACAGAACAGACACTTCATTGTCCCAGCGTCGCGTTTCAAGCTGCTGAAGGTAGAGTAAGAATGCAGTAAGAGCATGGCCATGAACACGAGCAGTATAATCCAGTGTCATCCTCAAAGATGCAAGTGGCAGCCAGTTTTCTGTCCTAAGTTTGCCTATGGCTGGTTGGGGGAAATGGCTGAATTTTATGCAGTCTGGTGTGGGTGTGTTAGTGCATCTTAGTGAGCTGACGTTAGAGCTCTTGCAGTTCTTAGGCTTGACTGGGATGGACACGTTTATATACAAAACACAGGGGTTCAGAAAAGGAGCATGAATGCAGAACTCTGTATCTGAAGTAAAGACATGAAGGTGGTATTTTAAATTTTACATTTCTCAGCTATAGGCCCATAGAAAGTAATTAATACATCTATTTTTGTGGAAAACTTACATTGCTTTTCATTTGCTTAGGGTGCTGATAATTTGACAACATACACCTTCAACACACATCATGCCCAGCACACATTCTGCAAGACCTGTGGTGTACAGAGCTTTTATACTCCTCGTTCTAATCCGGATGGTTATGGTAGGTAGAAAGAGTAAACTGTGGTAACCAAAGCTAACCACCAAGCAAACCTTGGATAAAGACTCCATTGGCTACTAACATGACAGCAGTGAGCAGCATGTGTCTTAAGAGTTTCTTCCTAAAGTGCTAAACATCTGGAACTGCAGTCTGAACCTGTAGCTCCTCCGTAAGAAACAGTCTTACCCATGACTTCTGGGCTTCTGACACGTTTCTCATCTAGGCTCCTCAACTTTACAGCAATAGCTGGACCGAGCATTTACCATTCCCTGAGATGCCCCATCCACAGAGTGGTGCAGGCATCTCCCACACTTTAGCTATGAAAAGCAGGTTTCTGTGTACTCTGTCTTTCTTCAGGAATAGCTCCCCATTGCCTGGATGATGGCACCGTGCAGACCATTGTCACAGAGGATATCAATGGCAAGGAATGGGAGAAGGCAGTGAAGGAACATAAGACCATCAGAGACATGTCAAAACCCTGACATACCCTTCCAGCAGCTGAACTTGGAGCACTGCCGTGGAACTGTAGTGTGGGCTTTCCTGGGTGAGGGTTGGCAAAATCAATCTCTACATTATTGTTATCTGTTCTCTGTTTCGTAAATAAATCTTTCTATGCTGCCTGTCCCATTCATTTGTGACTTTCAGTTTTCAGACTACCTCTGTTCCATAAACCACCCCAGGGCTGCTATTTTGGTACTTTGCCCTTTGGTACTTTGCTAAAGTTTAAATCACAATAAACAGAGCAAAGTACAAAAAAAAATCTAATCTTTGCTTGTATGGATATTTCCTGTGTTTCAAGTCTGGCTTATAAAAATGCCCTATATAAGATAATCTCTTGCTTAGGACATAATACTAACTTAACACTGTTTTTTCTCCATTGACTTCAGTGAATTGACCATGGATTTAGAGTTAAAGGGGATTTGAAAGAGCTTATCAGGCTTAAGTTCAGTAAAGCATTTACACAGGTGCTTAACTGTACGCAAGAGAGGGGCCACTGAAGTTACGTGATTAAGTACTGTTTTGCTTAAGCCTGGACTTACTTAAGGCTGAGTAGGCATAGGCTTAGGCACTGACTCATGGCCAGGGAACAGAGTTCAACACTGTCATACTCTTAGAACAATGGGCACGTACTTCAGTACAACCAGGACCTCATTTGTTGTCTTCAGGAGGAGGATGTGCTCACAGCAACAGATCAGACAATTTGGGCTCTGATCTCGACTATGCAGTGACTAGCTGTGTAGATCCAGGAAAGATGCCTCCTGCAGATGTGAGCCCACATTAATGAGTGCAAAGGCCTACAGAAATGTTGGGTATTACTGACTTTGCTCCCCCGTGACCCCACAGAAACCCAAATCACGAGTAAAATCTCTGTATAGACTAAGAAATGAAACCACTGAAAGCTGCTTCACTTACCTTTAAACATAAAGGGAGAGGATCTTTTAACTCTTGCACTTGTCATTTACATAAGTGGAGCAGCTTTTAAAACATCTCTTGCAATTTTTATCTCCGCATGTGTTCTATAAAAGACCTAGTTGCAGTCTGGGTCTCTTGCACTTCATTCTTGCGTCCTGTTGAGACTCTTGTGAGTTGATCTCGAGTGCCATGTTCTGAAGCAAGAAGAAATGCTCATGTTTCATGAGGGGGACTCCGCGAAGGTGGAGCCTGCAACACAATGTGTATGAAAGCAGCAGCAGTAGCAGCAAAGATCAGTGCAATTAGAGAAATTTGTATGATTTCTGATGTTTTATTCATAAGCTTTGGCTTTTTAAGGTTCTGACTGAATTAAGACAGGTCTTGTGGTTCTGGTTTTATCCGTGGTGATAGCGTGATCTTTGAAAAGTCACTCCTGATGCTTGGATTTTACAAAAGCACCAAGAGATAGTTGCCAAGCAGTCCTCACAGCTATATCCTCTTGGGAAAAAATAGTTTGTGCCATATCTTCTCCAATGCAGAATACTCCTGCATTTTACTCCTAATTAGGTTAATCCAAATTTCTTATCCTATTTAAGCTTCTACAGTGAGAAGATAGAGTAGTTGTTAAACCCTGTTCATCTTAATGTATCAGGCAACAAGATATTCAGAAGCAAGTTCATACAGCCTGTTTTTTGTAGTCTGAAAGAATGCTACACAAAGAGAATCCTGTCCTCTTGAGCACGTAACAGGTGAGTTTTCTTTAGTCCTTGGCCTGACACGGTCTTTTTTTTGCTCATTCTTTTACTCCTGAATTTGTGAGCGGCGTTTCTTTTACAGAAGGCGGAGTGAATTGATCATCATATAACGTGAGAAAAGCATATAGATGTGGCGAAACCAGAGGAGCTGGCTGCGATGACACCGCATGGCTCTCTAGAAGGAAAAATAGTTGAGAAAGCATTACAAGAACCTTCCAGACCTAATGTGAGCGCAGTTTCCTAGGCCTCCTGTGAGGTTCACTGCCCATTTATAGGACAGCCTGTTTTCAGTGAGCAGGGAAGAAGCAGTGAGAGGTAGAAGGCTGCCTGCTCTATGGGGCCAAAGGGCAGGGAGAGGCCTGTCTGCCCCTGTGTGGCTGCTGTTGGGCTGCCTAATGTTCAGAGGGGTCCTGCTAGAAAGGGCATTATCAGCTGCAGATTGGTGCTGTGACAGCTTCTTTGTCACGTATAGTTCCTCCTCACTATGTGATCTCACGCCTGGGTGTTCACATGCTGGGGAAGCAGAAACCTGAGAGGTGTGCATCTGAGAACACTTCGCATGCTGCTTCCGATCATGTATTGCCAGCTGAAACTTAACTTCATAGTTACATTCATATATTTAAATATTTATATATTTTATATATCTAAATATATTTTTATATATTTAAATATTTATATATATTTATGGTGCACCAGCTTAGAAAGGTCAGATTTCAGAAACACAAAACACAAGAGAATAATGCCACCTTTATCAGAGCAGTTTCCATACGTAACACTATCGCAGCCTCAAAAGCAGGAAAGTTCTGTGTATATCATTTGTGGATTAACAGGACTGTTTGCTGGGCAAATATTTACATCCTGTGGAAGGGGAGCTAATCAGACTCTGATACAGGGAACTGTGGACTAAATGTGTGAGATCTTATGCAGCAAAATAATTAAAAAAATACACAGTAGAGAAGGGAACTCGTAAAGAGCCACAAGTTCACAAGCTGTATCCGTCTTTAGTTAGAGCTATGATCCAAGGATGGTTTTCCTGGCATGCAGTCATGCCATTCTTTGACAGGCCACTCACATGTTCAGAATATTATGTTGGATCCAGACTCCTTTGAAATACATCCTACATCCTGGACACAGTGTAAAACTCAGTGCACTGTGACTACTGAAGATCTCTGAGCTGCAAGTCTGCTCAGCCCTGTCCTGCTATCCACACAGCACATGAAGCAACCTGTCTTGTCCATTCATGTTTTACAAATCACTGAAGATCGTTCATCAGTGACATTTATAATCCACGTATATAATTATTTATGGAGTTCTCTGTGAATATGACACTTCTGACTAGAGTCTTCAGAATGATGATGAGCTGTTCAAACAGGTTAAGCAGGTACCACCCATCTCACCCTGGCTTGTTCAGTCTCCTCCTCTGTGAGTATGAAGAGTGCATCTGTGGGCAGGAGGCAGGAAACGGGTACATCCAGCACGGAGATGTACTTCCGGAAGAGATTCACTGATTCAAGCAGGAGCACACGGCACCCTAGACAGAGAAAGAGGATAAATATTTCAAAACAAGAGTATTCTTGTAAGGTGCCCATCTCTCCAGGCTCAGCAGGTCTTTGCAGGCTCCTCCGTACTGCTGGCCACGGGGATCTTTTTTGTGCCAAAGGGGAGCGACTTCTACTCGTGCTTCCACCAGGATCTCTTTGTGCCCAGTGCACGCCTATGACCATTTGTACTGGTTCTTGTTCTGTATGTGGTCTGTGGAAAGCAAAGCTAGCTCTGAATACCAGAGGGTTTGGGGTTTTTTTGCGTATAATTTAAATTATTCCTACATAGTTAGACTCAAAGGAAAAAGCACAGGATGGCTCTCTGAATGCTGGCACTATATCATACAATGGAAATTTAAAACCGCAGTCTCTGGTTCAGCTACAAAAATGAAATTTCCTCTTTCTACTCCAATTCTTTGCTACAGAAAAAATATTTACAAGATTCAGGAATGGCTGTACCAAATATTAGCTCAGGCAGGCAGTTACACTTTAACAGAGTTCCAGAATTCATTGCTCAGACGTTTGTGATGAAGCAGATGAAGGTAACATGTATAAAGATTCTACTGGTGTGGAATTTTTTTCTGTTTTAAAGAGCCCCTTGAACTCAGAAGTTAACTGCTATTTTTTTTATCATGGCTAAATTGTCTTCACTGATGAGCTCAGAGTTACTGATGGTCCCGTTAACAGCCTGTAGCTCTCAAGGGAGCTGCTTTGGGATTTCTTAGGGCTTGGAAGCTGCTGTGATTATGCTCCACACTTCAGACATTGTATTAAAGTTCAACAGAAGAGGTCAAAGTCACAGTTTACACAGGTGGTCAGGTATACAATTAGATCTGCAATGAGATTTTCTTCAGTGTACCCTTAAACGGTGAAATTATACAAAGGAGACAAAGAACAATGCTGAATTGCTACAAAGGCTGCCTAATGGACCATTTTAGTGTGTGAAGCCTGTGCTCACATGTCTAATACTGCTTAAGCTGTTATGTCCTGAGCACAAAGCGAACTGGTGGTGCTCAAATACCTCTTGGCTCTAAAATGTAGGCAGGACTTGTGTCCTCCTAGGGAAAAGACTCTCCAGGATAGGGGCAGAAGCAAACATCTTTTCCGAAAAGAGTAACTACGTGAGGTGGGTTTCTGTGAGAGAGGTGATGATGCCTCTGCTAGGAGCCCTTTGTGCAGATCTGCTAAGGAATCTCATCCCACAAAGATCTGAACAGTCAACCTGCTGCTAACTTCCCTACTTTGGACATTTGGTAGATCCTTCAGTCTAGCCTCTATCAAGTATGAGATAGGAAAGCAAAACTTGCTGCTCTTATGGTGAATTAATTTCCTGGAGACACAGGGGAAGAAGCCCACAAAAGTCTCCAAGGTAGAGCATGGTACTGAAAGATACCCCACCAGCAAGCACCATTCCTTCCCCAGCCAGGGGTCTGTGACACACTGAACCCAGGAACAAACAGCACGTACAGGATGATCCTCCACAAATCCCCTCACAAGTGATTTGTGTCCCCTGCCTCTTCCCAGTGACACTATCTCATTTCATTGCAAAGAAAGGTCTTGCTTTTATTCCAGCCAAAGCCTGCAATGGCAGGACATGGCAATCCTGATGGACTCCCTCCAGCACACCTCCAGCATCTTTCAATTCCTTTCTTTCTTCTCTCTCCTTCAAGAGAAGGACGTACAATTTGTTCCAACTTTTCAATACCCTTTTCCACTCTCAAAAGCAAAACTGGTAACTTTATTTCAGTATCACAGAAGGCTCCAGGACCATGCTCCCCTTCCAGTTCTCTTTCTGCACTGATCCTGGGACATGACTCCCCAGTAGGGTGGACAGAGCATTCAAAGGAGTTTTTTCTCCTGCTGTGGGCAGCAATGGGCAGGGTTGGAGGCCTCAAGGGAAATCACCGGCACTTCCATCCAGACAAACGCTGACATAAGTCTGCGCTGTGCCAGGAACCGGAGGAAAAGCCCTCCTGAAGCTCATGGACATTTGCTGCAGGCCCGGCCTGCCAGGAGCTGCCGGGAGATGGCGGTGTCCGCCAGCTGCCGAGGGAGCCGGGACCCACAGCCTGCGTCCCTGCCGGCAGTGCCTTGCCCAGGCTGCCCAGGTTAGGATCACTTTTGGCACCCCTCTGCCTTGAAGGCCCTCCTGTCTTAACTATGTCAGTGCTGTACCATGTCCCTACTCTCGTCCTACTGCGGCCTCAGCCATCCAACCCTTGCATGGTCATCGTGCCCATCCCTGCAGAGCAGCGGCTGTGCAATGCGATCTGGAAGGACCGATGGCGCTGCCAAGCTCCCTGCAGCGAGTCCCTTGGACGTGCGGGAATGCAGGCAGCTGTGTGACCAGCATGGCCTGTGCCACTTCCCGACCGCGAGCCTGAGCTCCTGTCTCGCTCATGGTCCACCTTGACAAGTGACAGACAGAGCAGTTGCTGTTTAGCTGCCATAAGGTTTCAGCTTGCTATTGCAAAGGATGCTCTGCAGGGACAAGTGTTGCAGCTGCACATGGAAGTGCCCTGACAGTTCTTTTACTCCCACTAAAGACACATCTTGTTTCCAAGCAGCAAACTTGGAAGCAAACTTGTGATGTGCCATGAGTAGGGGAACCACTCTTCCCCTGCTTCTCTGCAGAGATCCTCTGGGCTGCTCAGCAGTCCCAATCTGTTGGTGGGTAATTTCAGAGAAAAGAGTTAATACGGTGCTGCACTATGGCACAGCAGAGGAAAGGAATAGATATGGATCTCCTTGCTCTTGTAGTCAGCATTCCCACTGGCCACCTGTTTCCTTTTCAGTGCTTACTGGGGAGGACAGGGCTAGAGCAAACATGGGGCAATGGGTCTTTCCTTTCCTGGATGGTTGTTAATGGACTCTGGCAACGCCGTGTGAATTCCTATTTGCAATGATGGGAAGAGAGCTGGTGTAGGGTTACCCACCACCAATCTCTGAAGCCTGGGCTGCTCTGTTAACAAAATGGGCTCTCCCTTTCCTCATAATTTTTTCCCTAAGAAATATTAATTCATGCAGCAATTACGCCCTTTTGTTCCCCAAAGCTCAGCAATAAGGGCTCAAAACAACTGCAAGTGATTTCAGTATTAATCAGTCTGGCTTCCTGGGTCCCTATCGGTCAGATCAGGCAAAGCAATGGCATTCAAGCCTCACAAAATGAAGGGCACTGTAAGAGTCTTCTGTGTTAGTGATACGACAAGGATCTCCACATGCTGACAGTAAAGGCTGCTCCGCATGGGAACGTGAGATGAAATGAAGCAGGGAAGGAATGTACAGTCCAGGGAGAGATGGAAAAGGGTTCAGAGAAACAGGCTGCTCCCTGCCAAGCAGGATGAGAAGTGCTGCCATTGATTAGTCTACTCCTATGACACCAGCAGGTGAAGCTTTTCAGAGCCTGTTGTGACTGTGACCTGGGCAGGATGGGATTAACAGTGTAATACAACCTCTCTGGGTTGGCAGAAAGGGCAAGATCAATATAGCTAGTGGATTAGGCCTAGAATAGAAGTGCATGAAGCCTGCAGCCTGTTCGGCTTGGCTTTCTACTTCCAAATCACTTATGCAGCAAGTATGCCTAGAATGAGAAATTAGCAGATCTACGTGTGCTAAAGGCTTGCACTGCTCCTGACAGACGTTAGCACACCAATTCTTTTTCTTTTGGAAGAGTGCTGGTTATAGCTGGATGGGGCCAGTAGTAGGGGTGGATGCATATCCAGCAGCTGTCTCGGCTTCTTGAAACAAGCCTATGTGCTTGTGCCTGGACTGGAGAACTTGACTACAGATAATAAGGAGCCTGTTGTGTTTATGCTGGCTAAAGGCATTAGAAAGCAAAGCAGGATATTTAGGGTGCTCATTTGCATATCAGTGAGGCAATGCAAGGCTTAGCTGGCTTTTGCATTTGCAGAGATTTTCTGTGGATTCCCTGATCACATGGGCTTACACAGGTTCACCCACAAATAGTTTCTTTTTACCAACAGGAGAGCAGCACATTTCCATGGCCTGAACATGCCTTTCAGCTCTATCCAGACAGCCTCAATCCCAGCATCACTCTTGTTTCATTAAGCCCCTCTGATGCACAGCCCTGCACGCCTGCCAGATCAAATTATAAATACTGGGAATTTCAATGAGACTGGAACTATATTTGGAAAGGCTTAGCGTAAGCAGCAGCATGGGAGCTCCCCGTTCCTTTGGTGTTTGTAGGTCATGTCAGATGTGATGTAATCAGAACAGCAAGGCTTTCACATAGCTTCAGGAGTCTCTTGATGCTGCTAGAGAAATGGAAATGTTGTCTATACATGGGTCCGTTTCAAACCTGAACCAATTTGAGGCACAGACCATATTCAGGACCATAGTATATCTAACAAACCTGCATGAACAGAACATGAGGGTGGTTCAGTCTAGATAAGGCCTGACATCTAGCAGTGACATCTACCACTGCAGTTCCTTGTTCTTTCTCTGTACGGCACACAGCACACACAGAGCTCTTTGCTGCATCCCAAAGGTAAACAAAGAAAAGGTCCTAGGAATGAAGGCGGCATTAATACTCCTGTTTCATAGATGCGGGAATTGAAGAGACTAGAGTCAGAACTCAGTTAAACGGCATTCTGCCATCTTGGCTCATGCTCTCTCCACCAGATCTTTGTCTGCAACTTGCTGCTAGCAGGGAATTAAAACTGATTTGCTGTGACGCATCCAAATCCTACAATGATTTGGGAATTAGAACTGAAGAAACAAAGTCCAGATGACTGCTGAGGGAGGTTGACTGGGTGGGCCTGGTTGAGCCACCTTCCTAAGCTCTGTCCAAACAGCTCACAGCTTTGTGCTTAAACTAGTTCCACAAATTTGTCCCTGAGTCAGGCACTGTTTGCTAGAGATAAGGGCTGCAGATCTACTCTGGGACAGCAGCTAGAAAAGGGGGTCAGGAGCAGCCTGCTTCTGTACTTTGGTTCTTTCTTTTTCCTACTGGTACAGAGAGTTTCTCAAAAATACTTGTGTATTTACAGGTGAAAGAAGCCACTCCAACGATTTATTCTGCCAGTGCAGATTTCAGATACCTTTCCCATACTGACCACATTTTGATGGAAGCTTAGCTTGGTACATGCAACCATTTTTGGCTGAGCTGGTAATGGTTTCTGAGGCTCTTGTCACAACAACAACAAAAAAAGGCTTATAAGTAAGATGTGACCAAAACCTCTGGGACTGAGCTGAGAGACCTGGAAACAGCACTCCTATTCACACAATACAGCAAGAGGCATAGGCCAGACACTGAATCATACCACCAAGACAGGAAAACCCTGAAGGACAGAAAAGTGACTGTAGAGAAGCCTGAGCTGGTAAAAAACTGCAGGGAGATAAAAGGGCAAGGAAGAGTTCAGCTGCGGGTTTCATTTGCATTGCAAATAGAGGTGAGTTAGGCAAATGAAACCCTGGACAGAACATTCATGTAAACAATTGCCTAATGCCTGCAGGGTCATGGATGCGTAATGTGACATACCTTCAGGTAACTTCCGCTCTGAATGCAGGTACCTGTGAATGAAGAGATACATGGGGGTAAACACTCAATGTTACTCAAATCCTGATTTCACAGGTATAAACTCTGTATGCTAAATCAACCCTTTTCTCTTAATACACACACATTTACAATGGCTAATCTTGTAAGAAAGTTCAGGAGTCGACACTGGATGCACATGTCAGGCAGTGGTAAGCCTCATTCCCCATATGATTCTGCCATTCCTTTCCTCATCCTGGCTGCTGGGACACAGAACAAATAAGCTCCATAAATCCAACCCGCTCTCAAACTTCTCATGTTGCACTAAGGGAAACTGCAAGAGGCTGCCAAAGGCTCTTCACCTCTGAGAGCATTGGCTCTTTAAAATCTTGTGTTTGCTGACCGGGGACATTGCCTCAGTGGCAGCTCCTGTTCGGGGACCAGCTTCTTTCTTTCTAACCCATGCTGGCACTGGGACATCTGAGAAGCTGCTCTGACTTTTTGCTCACTAAGACTTTGATCCCTTCATGACTTTGTCCTGAGAAGTCTCTGTAGCAAAAATGCATCCCTTGGAAACAGAATGAGGGGACCAGAGCAGGAGATGTGAACAGTGATGGTACTTCTATCAAGAAGTGTAAGCAAATGATCCTGATATGATGAAGGCATCAGAGGGTATTAGCTTCAATTCCTTTTTAATTCTCTTGTTTTTCCTGCTCTAGCCTGTGGTTCATAGCTTCAGAGCACTTATGCTCACATCACCATTTGCATCGCCTCCAGATTTGGCCCATCGCAGGGATGGGAGGAAGCAGGTCTCCAGCAGATGGCACTCAGAGCTGTCCCACACCCAGGCTTGCTCTTCCATAAGAAAAAAAAAGTCCAAACAATGGAACATTTGCCAAAAGGAGAAAGGAAATAAAAAAAGAAAAGTTATTTAACCCTGTGTAATATTTAAAGAGATTGTTATCATCTTAAAGTGGTGTATTTAACGAAGGACAATGTGACAGTTCATGTGTAAATCAACCAGGATAAAACATACATTATATGTAAACTGTTATGTTTCTCCAGTCACTTTCAAACTAGGATTATCTCTGGCTATTGGTTAAGTTCAAGGAAAAGGATTAGCTACACAGGCGTAGACAAAATAGGAAGCACGGAGTAATGAATACCCAAAGCAATTCAAAGCAAAAGTCAAGCCAGAAATGCAGGTCATGGCAGAACTCAAACAGCAATGAGAAGACATATGCCTTAAATAGATTCTCCTGCCAATGGTCTCCTCTTCTCCAGAGCCAAAGATCTGTAAACAATACCATTTTCTACTAAACAATGGCCTTGTAATACTGACTTGGCCACCTTCTACCCCACTACTCAAGTCCTACAGTTCTGACAAAGATTGTTAAATGTTGCCTTGTAAACATTACCAGCAATTTTTTTTTGGGGGGGAAGAAGGTTTAAGTATCTCCATTAATGTCTGCTCTGCTCTTCTGCCAGAGGTTTCTTCCCTCACAACTAGAATCTGGCCACCCAAAGTGATTCAGCACTTGGTAAAGCTAGCAGGGTGGGAACTTTTTAAAACAAGCTTGGAGAGATAAAGCAGTGAGTGGTTGTGAAATTTGGCCAACTATCCAAAGTCCTAGTGTCTGTTCTGGGTGTGCTGCCATAGAGGGACCTTCAAAGCACTAACTGATAGCAAATTAAAGGATGTGAAGAGCTGCTCCAAGAGTGAACTAATAATAACCATTCCTGGCCACTAGAAACAGAAGCAAGGAGAGATCCAGTTCATATGGAAACGTTTCAGCAGGAGCAGAGATCGTCTTCAGCAGGGAAGGAAAGTTTGATCCAGCAGCAAATTAAGGAGTTTGTGCTTGTGTAAAGGTTCAGGGAGACACAAACTGTATTTTCATTACCGAAAGGTTCTCAAGGCTGCTGCCAGGCAGACCTGACACTGATCTGGAAGAAAAGGCATGAAGAAACTGATTCCCTCCTCATCCTTTTTGTCCTGAGCCAAATGCTTCAGCACTCGGCAAGGCTCAGTGCAGAGCTATGGGAATGGGCTCCACCCAGCTATAATGCTGCAGAGGAATTGCAGCCTTGCTCGTTTGTATTTCTCAGGCAAGAGATGGCAATGAACTGTGGTTGCAGAGAGAGAGAGAGAGAAAGAAACACAAAACTCTACCTCCTGCACACGTTCATAAAACTAGCCAATCCTCTCCCAAATCAATCTTCTTGCTCCCATCTCCACCCTGCTGGAGCTCTCTCTGTGGGACACTTCCAAGTAGGGGAGAGGTTGCAGCTCTCTGTTGTTGCCATTTTGGGAATGTTGTTTTATAGATTGGACTTGCTGTGGTTTGGGTGAAATGAGAGTTTGGCATAAAATCTCAAAAAGTCAAACAAACAGGCTCTTTTTCAGGAGCTCTTTCCATGTGTTTTTTTCCAGAGAGACTTTTTACAAATTCTTCTTCTTTTTAAACATAAAGTGATCTAAGGTGGCTTGTTCCCACCTGTCCACAAAGTCCCAGAGGCCAGCTGATTACAGGGCACCTCTCACTGCACCCTCTTTATTATGCCTGTGGTAGGTTCAGATGCACATTTGAAGGAAAGTGGGACCCTCTGCAGTGAAGAACTTCAAAAGGCTGTGAGATGTCTGAAGGCACCCACCATTTTTGCACTGCAAGGAGTCAGAACCAGCTCCTCCCTCACAGACCAGCTGCTTTGAAAGCTATTGCTGTCTGTAGCTATCAGCTGCATCTGCTCAGCAGAAAAACTGAAATGGTCCAATAATCCTCATCCTACAAACTGCAAGACTGAGCTAGTTCCCAAATTCCCCATCTTTATTCAGTCATCCTCAAGGAAAGATGCCAGCAAAGTGAGTGGGCTAGCTCCTAAGAGGCACTGACCACTGATACCTCCCCATGATGGCAAGAAGGAACAAGTCAAGATGGAGCTGAAACCTCGGTCTTGGGGAACACAGAACGCCTCGGGGGTAGAAGCAGGACTGATGCCCTGGTGGGTGGATTACAGTTTTGGTGATGTTCTGTTTGATGAGAAATTGTTCACTGAGATCAATGACTTCACTCTCCAAATAGTCTCCTGTGCCAAAGGCAAAACCCTTCACTGAACTGACTGTGCTGGCTGCTGTAGAGCACTGGGGAAATACAATTCTGAAGAGCGTGGCAAAGAATGGATGTCTTAAAGATGCATTGGGGCTCCATTTAGGATCATAACCTCTAATCTGCCCAATTAATCTGATGAAACAGATGTGAAAGAGGAAGAACAGCCAGTCTCCTAGGAATCACAGAGACATTAGAGGGATATACTTGCCAGATGTTGAATGTTTGCTATCTGGAACGCCTCCTCCCTCCCTAACCGGACTTTCTGGCTCCATTTCCATGCACCCTGAACTACACCATGTAGCAACATGCAGTTTGTAAAACACTATTCAGGCACTCTGTACTCACGTGTATTGCAGTGGCAAAAGATGGTTCTGCCAGTCAGAAAAAAAGGTGTTGATTCCAAGATCTTCCAGTTGACAGAGCTGCTCTGTGGCTCTGTGCTTTGGTCCCTGCACTGTCTGGGAGAAGAATGTGCAGTGTCACTGCTCCACTCATGCTGCTAGCAGCCTAGTGACACTGGGAAGGACATTCCTTGAGGCTGTTTCTTTGGAAAAAAAAACTTCTTTGGGGGGGATCCCTGCAATGCTGGTGCCCTGTGCTCAGCTCTATCCTAACGGCTCTCGACAGTATCATGGAGGGCACTGGGATGAATAAACTTAGTCAATTTAAGGAAGGAGGGAGCAGGGGTGAAGGAATGAGATAAAATCTAGGACAACGTACCCAGCTATGGGATATATGCCAGGCATAGGGCAGAGTCCTCTGAGGGGAAGGGACAGAGTCACAAAGGGTAAACAGAGGAGGACAATTCTTTCTTGACCTTACGGAGGCAGTCTGGGTGCAATCACAGCCACCACTCCTAAGTTCCCCCTGGGACATTTAAGATCAGTAAAACAAAACACCAGAAGTGAGCTGGACTGTGAAAGGACAGGCTGAAACATAAGATACTGGAACCTGTTATTTCTTCAACACTCTTCTTTATTTTGCATGGAACCTAGAACTCCAGCAGGGACTAAACAATCCCAAACAAACACATCAGTGACACAGGAAATCCTTTTCCAAGACAGAGCAAATAATAACCAGTTTTGAAAAAAGGATTTTCTGGGAAAAGGCAAGGGAAATACAAAACAGCACCCTGCTTTAAAAACATAAATGAGATGCCACTCACTTGAAGTGCACAGGCTACAGCTGCTTAAAAGGAATGAGAGATCAGAGTCCCATTCTAGCCCCACACTGTAAGAAGGCATCGAATAAAAATGGTAGATGGGATACCATTCATTATCATCAAGCTAACCACCCAAGAAACAGCTTGCTTCGTGCTCAATACATCCTTAAAGACCTGGCCTTGGAAATTCAATACAAGCAGAACTGTGCTTTGTAGGGATGTAATGCAGTTGGTGGCTTTTGAGAACTGCACCCACCAAGTCTGTGGGATTTGGCTGGACAATGCACTGTTCATTGTTTCGATATACTTATTTGAAACTGGCATTTAATCAATCCTCCTCTTTCAGGGAGCCTCAGTGCAACCCTTCTGCACGATGCTATGTCCCATGGCATTCATAAATGGGGCATTCAATAGTCAGGCTGCGACATGTAAGTACGACAAGGCATCAGTGGCACTCAAGCTGCATCATAATCAACTCAAGAGTGATAAAGCACTAAGCTCCCAAACAGCACCTCTGCACAGTCTCTTTTACAACCTACCACTGAGTTGGCAAATGTTAAGAAACATCCTGCAGGACTGAGAGGTGTTCTTCCAAATGGAATCGACAAGAATAGGCTCAGCTAATGATACTTTGATGTAGCTTTTTATATGGCATCATTGATATAAGTTTTATGGATGCAGTTGCTATAACAACATAATGCACAGTAGTTAAATATAGCAGCTCCTATTTTCCACTCAGTTTGCTCTGCCCTAAGCAGACAAGGACTATTCTTTTCTGTTCTAGCTGGGATGAAATGGATTTGATAGCTCACTGAAGAAAAGGAGTGGTCCAGTCCTTCCTCCCCCTCACAAAGACCATTCCTCTCCCCCCTAAGCAAGCAAGCAAACAACAAAACCAACAGCCCCCTATTTGCTAGGCTACTGGGCAAGAGGGCTTGTTTAAAATCAAAATGCACAATGACTCATGCAAAACTAAACCACCTCGATATTACATGTGATCTCAGTGCAAACACTGTCATTTCAAAGTGCAGGAAGAGAGGTTGTCAAATATTCCTGTCATGCAGTATTTACCATGCTTATTACCATAGTGCCTAGTGACTGGCCAAATGCTGAGAGGGGAGTAAAGTGACCTTGATGTCACCCAAGACCTGCTCTTCCTTGTGGACGCGTGTACAGGATCCAGCCTCTCTTGGCCACAGGGAAAGCTCCTGTTTTGGGGGCTAAGAGAGAATGATGTTGCCCAATCAAGGTGATGGGGAAAGAAGCAGAGCTACAGAGGTTCGCTTCCAATTCTCCCTTCTTCGCTATAGTGGGATTTTCTTGGTTTTGGGTTGGGTTTTTTTTGTCTGGAAGCCAGAACTGAAATACTCCCAGGGGAGACTGAAATCAAATAGCAATTTGTGTTCCTCTCCCATCCTGTTTTTTCTTATTTTTCCCTCGCAGAAGAACAGATCTACTCTCAAACCTTGGCATTTCACAGTTCCTCCCAGATCTGAAGCCTAGGCACATAGCAGCAGCTGGACTCCCTGCAAGCTGTCAGGAGGAAGGTTGCTGCAAGGGGAAGGGCACATTTCTTCTGAATAGTTCCTGCTCCTTTGAATATAACCTCTGTTCCAGACACTAGAAAGAATATTTATGCCCTTAGCAGAAAATACTGAGCATCTGCTCAGCTATGACCATTTCCTGAACTGTTTTGTTCCTTGAAGCTGTTCAGTAATTTGCACCTCCTGAAGCATGGAGTTGTGGCATGGGTCACACAGCCTGTTCTACCCCTGCTCTCGCAGAAAGTAATCTCTTAGGTAGTGGGCACAAATCTATCTCCCACAGACTGGGAGCATCCAAAAGAGCTGAGGATCACTGCACCAGCCCTCTGCTTCATCCTTTCCACTTACAGCCACAGTGGAGGCAGAACCCTGCAGACCTTGTTTAAAGATGGTTAATAAATACATTGCACATGATACCTGGAGGGGAGAGTTCATTTGCCTTTTTCTTGCCATGTAACACTGGGGCCCCAGGGGCAGCAACCGCTGCTTTGCAAAGCCCTGCTGTCAGGGAGGTACGTGAGAAGCCTCAGCATATGCTCCCAGCACTGCCTGTACTAGCCAACATGTGAGAACTCATCAGGGCACTGAAAATCAGGAGTGATGCAGTCACGCTCTACTTCCTCCATGACACAAACTGAAAAATAATGAGGGCAAGCAAGCCACTAAAAATAAACTTAACCTTTCAGTGGCCACAGAATCACTCTTGCCACATGCAGATGACTGGGCCACCATGCTTATTTCTGCTGATTCAGGACTGGACGAGAGACAAGAAACAAACCAGCCCTAAGTTAATGAGAGCTGCTTATGCTCTGGTGTCCCTATCAGCATGTATCTCATCAGCCCAGGACAATGTTCTGCTGTAGGCTAAGGACTAATGCAAAGATCTGAGTTCAAGGGGCTTGCATCTAATGAATACTTGCTAGTAACATACTCTGAGGCAAGAAGAGGGTTAACATCCCCACTGCACACACAGGAAACCTAAAGAACAAAGGTGGGAAAGTGATTTCTGCACAGCCACAAAGTGAGACAACAGTAGAGCTGGGATTAAAATTGAGAGTTTTCCTTAACTTTCTCATACATAATTCAGCTGCTAGCTTGTTTTCCCTGTATCTCTTCAGGATGCAGGGGGACATCTAACAATCTGCCCTCCATTCCTATTTGCAGGCCGTACGGCAATTGACTGAGCAAACACTGAGGTCCAGGCAGCTGGAAGCTCTCTAGTACCTCTGTGCCAATGGTATGAGCATCGGTCATCAACCTCTGTTCCTCACTCACATCTCAAATAACATTGTGCCGGAAAGCATCTCCCCGCTTAGCCCAAACAAACACACAATTTGCTTTAACTCCACCCCTTTTCCTTCTGCTAGGGTATTTCAGAACTTGCTTGGAAAAGCCATGATCCCCTCTAACGCTGAATTCCAGCCACCAGATAGCATCAAAGACTTTCAGCATCTTCCCAGAGGAGCTCAGTAGGCACAGAATGGATTCTGTGGCACTGCAGCTTTCTCCAGGCAAGTGAGAAAGGCAAATCACTGTGGTGTTGTTAGCAAGGAGAGCCAGAGAGTTATCTGAATTGCACAGATGATTCAGAAAACAAATGTGTGCTAAAAATACAAGATATACTTGCAAAGAGTTCTTCTCTTGCCTGGGAAAGGCAGGGGCAGCTCTGGGGGAGATCTCTCTAGGACACAATGAGGTCTGAATGAACAGAGGGTTAAAATAAAATACAGTAGCTGTCTTGCCAGCAGAATTTGGGTGATTTTAATACAAGGGATTTTTGTCTAGCAACCTTCCCACATCACAGCACAGAGACAGAGATTCTCAGAATGTAAAGAATAAAGTGGTAAAGGAACAAGTTGACTTAGGAAGAGTGGTAAATAGGGACAGCTCCAGTGAAAGAGCAACATTCTTGGGTCAGAGAGGTAAATTCAGTTACCCAGACAGGATGGCAATATCCTCTGGAACAATGGTGCAGAACTTTCCAAAATCCAGCTATCACCAGCTCAGGCATCAGCTATTCACACACTCTCCTCAAACCAGAAGTGCAAAGTGATCTGTGGTGTATCTTAGTGGGATCAAGGACAGGAAGAGCAAAGAGGGCCCAGTGAAAGGGAGACTGGCAAAGCACCAGCAGATGGAATAATAAAGGATGCTGTAAGTCATTTACAGAGCTGTAAGAGTTTCTCCAAACAGTATCGTGTCCCACAGCCTGGCACTCAGTTATATCCGTTACATTAATACTGCTCTTGGCTCTAGCTATTAGTTTTCTGCTTACACACAAACACCACATTCGCTCTGTAACACTATAGTGAGGCATTCAATTAAGTGTGCAGAACACTGTACCTTAAAGCAGCGTAAAGAGAAATGTGGTTAGCATGACCACTCACTCCTCCTGCATCAAAGGTTACCACCTGCAAACAAATCATAGAACAATAATCATTTGAAGAAGGAAACTGCAGTTACCAACTTTGACTTCTAACACAGTACTGTCCCAGCCCATTGTTATCTAAAGAGTTGTTTTTGTCTTGCACAATGAGGCCTTGTGTGTGAACTCATGCTACAGAAATACAACTCAACAAACAAGACACTCTGGAACTAGACGACTACACAGTCTAACAGCTTGAACAACAGAAAGACGACAAATACCGTGTTCCCACTGGCAGGATGCACTTGTTACTTATTACCAGGCCAAAAGGTTACTTTCAGAGTGATCTTTTGCAAACTTGTTCCTGACCCAAGAGGTCCAGCTCTATGAATCACTCTCTCCTGGATTTGAGAACATACTAGAATGCCTGCAGATTACAGGGTGAAACTATAGTTTGTTGTACTGTGAATCAGGACATATTGCTTTAACAAGAGCAACACAATCATGTACTACCGTCCTGATTGTAATGAGGCTTCATCACAGGATAACATAGTAATAAAATAATCTGATATAAGAACAAGCCTTTTTAAAGAATCAGCTGACTGCGCTTTTTTTACAAGCAAGTCAGGCTTTTCGCTGAATGAGAAGATCATATTGTTTATTGCTTCTCTGCAGGGAGAAATGGGAACTTCATAATGCAGAAGTAATGCGTGAACACAGCACTAACAAGTCACCGTCCAAAGCACAGAATACCCTTGGCTCCCTGCCCTAAGACCTATCAATAATGTGTCAGGGGTGAAGCATCCACCCTAAGGGCTCACTCTGCACAGTATTGTGAAGTGGGTTCTTAAAGGCTCCCACTTCCAACCTAGAAGACAAACTGGCAGCGCAAAGTGTAGAGCAGACAGGGAATGTGTGCTGGTAGGTTTTCCAGATGGTGAAAGTGACAGTCCTTGGACAGCCTAAAGTTAGGTTTTTGCTCTGGGAGAGGCCAGGCAGCAGAGCTCTCCACAGCTCCCGTCTCTATGACCAGGAAGAAACCATAACCTCCCTACATTTCAATCAATGTCTGCTTCCTTGCCAGCTTGTTCTCTCTTCAAGGAAGGAAATGCTACTGCCTTGCTTACTCACCACAGCTCCCTTTTCAAAATCTATTTTATATGCAGGACCTGAAGTACTGGGTTAAAGATCAAGGGAAGATCAAAAGCCGCCCTGCCTGTCCTGCAACTTGCTACTCCACCCTCCAACAGGAGAGGCTCTCTCAAACACAGGAGATACTGTGTAAAGAGGGAGAGGAAACACAAAGACAATGATAAGAAATACTTCAAAAACCACAAACTCCAGACAAGCCTGCTTATAAACCCATCCACCCAGTACAAGTCCACAATTAGACTTTCCACTTTGCCCAGTGGCTGTAATAATGCTGCCACCAAGCAGTGGGGTTATTCATTGATGGCAGGAAGTGGCAGGACCCAATTTGGATTCGTTCAGGTACAAAGAAGCATTTTTCTGGTCAATCCTTATTTTATAAGGAGAAAAGTTATGTCTTTGGCTTTGGCTGCTTTTGCTGTACATCAGCATTACCTGAGAGACTCTCTGCAGGGACTCCATGGTCTGGCATGGTGCTAAGCCCTCCCTAAGGCTATCAGCTTTCTGAGTAGCTCATCTGGGAAAGACATTATTACATTCTGTACAGCTCAGGGAACCAGCATAGCACCCTGTATTTTACAGATAAGAAAAAACATGCTCTGAAGTCACTCCTACCTAGAGTGGCACTTTCCTAAGATGACAATGTCCCCCACTCACTGCAGGCGGAATAAATTCCTATGCAGGTGAATAACAGTGTGAGTCTGCTAAGGGCTGGACTTGCACTAAACCTTTTTACTAAATGGGGACAGAGAGAGGGTTTGTCTCTTCTGCCTGATCATTTCTTTTCACGTAACCTGTACAAACAGAACATTTCAAGACTACTACCCTGCTGTCAAATGTGGTTGAAATTAGCCAATGGGCTCTGAAGTCTGTTGTCTAAACAGGGTACTGATTCCACAGCATCACTGCGGTGCTCGTGACTTAAAGCAGGCAGCAATCACATGTAAATATATTCCTCTGGCTTCAGGGATTCGTTTCATTGATAACAAATCTGAATTTCTTTCTCACATGCTGAAGATATTTTCACACGGGAGCATTTGCTTCTTCCACATGGTGCAGCTAGCTGGTGTGTTTGCTTTTAGCACATAACCTGAACAAGGCTGATGATGAAATCAAGCAAACAATCAGGGCAGGATGAGAAAACCTGAACATCTTGAAACTGTCTGGGTTAAAAACAGGCTTAGCCAGTTCAGGGAGCAAAAGGCTGGGATAGGAAATATACTTGATATGGAAATTATTGCTCAATGAAATCTTTAGGGCAAGAGGGAGTTCCCTCCCCACACCTGTTCTGAAATGGGAACCGCTGCCCTTGGTGTTGCAGGGTTTTCTTCTGGGTGACCTTGGTATTCAGGAAATTGAGCTTTCACTACTGGAAGCCAGAGCAACAGCCAAGACAAACAGGTCCAGAAATCCCTTCCGGAGGAGGGAGAGCACAGAGGAAATTACTCAATTACTAGCAGAAGAGAAAAATCCTGAGAGGTCTGGAGTCCATGCTCCTTCTACACACCATGTGCATCGGAGGAAAAAAGCACTCAAAGCTGTGGGTCTCCCTCACTCTTTCTGGCGTCATCCAATGCTTCAAACAGAGCACACATCTGCTCAAGTAGATTGGTGGGGATAGAAAGGTCTCCTTCCTTTTTAAGAAGGGCCATCCCATAAAATTGCATAGCAAGCAACTCCATTTCTAATGGCCTTCCTCTGAGCATCATTTCATAGGCCCGACTTACACTTGCAGCGGCCAGTGACATTCAAACTCCCTTTGATCCTCTTGGGAGGGTCTATGTTTGGAGGTGTCTCTTGTTGCTACTAAATCAGAGAAGCTAAAGACTAAAAAGAATGGTCAACTGGATGAAAAAGGAAAAATCTAATCATGATCAACATCCCAGTGTCTACCGGGTTTGAGTTGCAAGTGTGTAAGTCATGCACAGGCTCTTAGAATGAAAGGTCCTGGGGGCCTCCCACTCATGTACCCCAAAGCACACCTGAGGAGACTGCAACATAAGTGAGGAAGGGAGGAAAAGGGATGCCAAAGTCTGTCCCAGCTCTGTTGCCTCCTCTAGCAAACTCCACATGCTGCCCTCCATATCTGGTGTTCTGCAAAAGCATTTAAAATTGTCTACAAACATCACACATTCAAATGCTCCCAAATTTTAGGAGAGTGTGGAGGCTGAGATCCAAAACATGAGAGCTGAACTCCCCCTCTCAAATATAAGCTCCAACTTGAATGCCATTTGTAGAAGGATCTGGCTTTCTAGGCTGATTTGGAGCTGACCCAAGACAATGGGACTCCTCCACAAACAGTTGTACAGATGATGTTTCCATCAGTCCATAGTGGAAAGCAGCTTGTAAGAACGTGGTATTCCTGAATTCTGGTCTCGGCACTGCATCTGCCCCAAACAGTCTGAATGTCGCCTCCTAATCCAAGCTCTGCTATCACCAAACCTGAGATCCTTAAGAGTAGAGCCTTAAGGCCTCTAGTAGAGCCTCATACTCTAGAGCCTGCCTGGTGCTCACACAATACTATGTAATTTATTTTTTTTATACACCAAATACTTTCTAATCTGGATCAAGACAGACTAGCCTTGGCTGCCTCTCCCAGCAACACTGGCTTTTGCTTATAAATCCAGCAGGCAGGAAATAATTTCCAAAGTCTATAAATTAGTTTTGGCTTTGAGTACACCAACTGTTAATTTCTGTCTGCACTATTTAATGTAGAGCTTGGATGAAATATGTCCCTGTAGCTCTCAAATAGATTGAGTTACTCATGGACTTCCAGGGCAAGTGAGGAAATGAGTAACTATGCAATGGAACAAAACTACGCATAACATGGTGCGACTCCTTGCCTTGCAATCTTTCCTTTCAGACATGTTGGAATTGCAGCCTGCTTCTCCACTGCCAGATGATACATATGTTCTGTAAATAAAAGACACCATTGTCTATGCTATGACTAGGGGGAGAACTGGGGAAAGTTTTCCCACTGGGATAGCTAAAACAATACACGTCTTCCAATCACGTTAACTCCATTGAGTTAGCTTGTTGTGTTTGAAACAACACAATGTTTTGACAAGGCTCTTTTAACATGTTAAGCCAATTCTGTCAATTTCAACATTACTGAAAAATAGACTCAGTTTACCTTTCAAGGCAAGGCCATTGTCTCAGGACAGCAGAGATGCTCTAAGAATGGCTAACAGATAGCAAGCTTTGAAGTTTTAAAATGCAGAATGTTAGACAAAGGTAATTAGGCACTTGCCTTGCTGTTGTTGGCAAACTAGGTCTGCTCTTAAATGAAAGGTATTATAGCAAACATGTGAGACCTGTGTGATTACTTGGGACACTTAAAATAATGTAAGTTTACAGAGCAGTTCATTACCACCATCCCCAAGAAGCTGCTTCAGTGGCCTTTGGTACTGCTGACATGTTCTGCTACAGTAATTTGTCCTCACTGCTGCTCAGGGAAGTGCTGAGGGGAACGCAGTGGGCCCTGCCACAGTGTTCCTTGTTACTACAGCTATACCTGACACCCGCAGCACAGCGGGTAGAGTTCTAGTGATTGTGCGTGTTTCTTGCTTTGAAAACCCCGCACTTGATTTTTCAGCTCACGCTATGTTAGTGGCAGACTCCTGCCTCCCCCAGCACAAACAGCTTGAGTTCAATTTCCTCTGAGGCAAAGATCTAACCCTTTCTAACCATCTAGAGGAGTTCTAGTGTTTTCAGAATTTCTACTGGGATTCTGGTGCACTTGTCCTAGTAGTGCCCATGAGAGTCACAAACATGCAATACAAATCCTATTGTATTAGGAGCTTTCAGATTAGATTAAAACCTATCTATTCATGGGGCCAAAAGGCACAAAAAGAGTCCAGGAAAACTGCATTTGTCTCTGTGCACAGCAGTGAATTTCATGGAAAATTAGCCTCAGAATCAATACAGAGTTGGATGCATGATGCTGGTTTTTGTGCTCATGGGGCTTTCATGCTACAGGAGATGTGGTTTCTTGTTTTGTGAACTGCTGAAAGGCTTTAAGATTTTTGTGATTTTCCTGCTAATCAGTGTGTGACAGTGACATGCCTGATCACAGCAAGGTTCAACAGAAAAGAACAGAACACAACCTTTTCTGTGCTTAGGCCCTTATTCCTGTTCTGTGGGGAAAAAACCTCCTATACCAGTGCTAGGAAATCTCCACGGTTTAATATTCTTCAATCCTGACCTATATCCCTGCTAATCTAGCTCTCTAACACACGCCTGCCAACGTACTTCAAATCTAAGCCTAAGCATAAGCCTAAATCCCAGATGGGCTCTCTTCATCAATGAAACCTAGCAACAGGGGCAAAATGGTTGCTTTAAAACATAGAAAACATTTGAGGAGTTAGTAAAGCAAAATTCCTCCACCGTTTATTTCTCACTGGGAAGCAAAGAAAGATCTCCAGAGAGGAAAGATACATCCAAACCACACCATCATCCTTTTCCATAATTTTCAGTGGAGCAATTCTATTCGTTCTGATCTTCTAGCAGTTGTTTGAAGTGCATCAGAATGACCATGTCTTACTTGTCAAGACACAGGAGCTGTACAAATACTCACAAAAAGTCTTAAACTACAAAATGCAAAATTGCTTTCAGGTATCATTTTAGACCTGAAATTCAGCTGGGCTTATTCAGAGGGTCTTCTACAACTAGTGAACCCCAAGATGTACTACCGTGACGCTTACTAGTTCCAACAGAGTTTGCAGTTTTTAACCAATTTGAAGCTTTTACTTCAGTGAAGGCTTGTGGCACTACAACCCAAAAGAGGCTTCATAAGATCTAGCTAGAGAAATGGATAAACATTATAAAGCAAATATTCAAAATGAATATATATATATATACTTATACTTATATATAGGTATACTTATACCTAGGCTATTTCACAGAGAATCCAGAAGCAAAATCCTAACTTTCAAGACTTCAAAGAAAGCTTTCAGAGGGAAGGAAAAAGCCTAGAACACTAGCTCAAGAGTAATGTGGAAATTGCCTATGCTGTAGAAAGTTTCACATTACCAGGTTGATGTTATTGGCTTCTATATGCTTTAGCACAAAGGCTGCGAGGAGTTGTGTGTCCCATTCAACAGCAGGATTATCTGGAAGATCCCTGAAAATGAGAAGTGCAATTAGTCACTTCACTGCTGAGAACTTTATAAAGACCACGCTAGAAAAGAGAGATCCTCTTATCAGAGAATGAAATCAAGATAAATTTATTTATCATATAAAACCACTGAACTTTACTTAGGAGTTTTACAAGCTTGTATATTGGAGGGTTGAAAGGGAAACAGCAGTTCCAACACCCTCCTCATAGATTTGCCAAGGTCTCCCTTTCTTCTTACCATTAAGGCAGACTTTCTGACTGCTTTGCTTTAAGCAACATCTATTTTGTTCAATGATTCTTGTTCTCTACTCAACCCAATAAAATTACTTTCTCTTATTTAAAACCCGTTTTAAAACACATTTTCCTGAAAGACTTTCCAGTCATAATCTACTGGTGAATTACATATGAAAAGTAACAAGCAAACTCCTGCTCTCATTTATACAGGAATAACCCATTAACCTCAACCAGAGGACAATAGGACCATAATTATATTGCATGGATTTGATCGTAGTTCTTCATCTGTTTATTTTATGCTTTGCATACCAACTGGGTATGCAAAGCATACTATGACTGAATACTCTGCCTGGGTATTTTAGATTGCAGCCTCCTAGGGGCAAGGCACCATGAGCCAAATGCAAAATAACACCAGGCAGCCAACAGAATTATTTCATATTTACACAACTGAGAGCTGAATTTGACCCCCCAGCCATTATGTTTGAATGGCGCCAAGAAAACATTGCTTGCAAAGTTAAAAAGGTTATTAGTAACAATAGGATAACACACAGCTGCTAAAGACCAATAATGATATGTTAAACTGGTCTTTTTCTCAGACCTTTTCCATCTTCTGATAGTCTGATAATTGCTGTGAAGTGGTTTAGCAGAAAAGTGACTGCACAGCGTTCTCACACAGACACATGGGTTTGGATCTGAACTGATCCAGCTGTTTGCTGCAGAAAGCAGGGGTGCTACCTCCCAACACTCTTCGCGCCTTGCTGACTCCCCAGAGAGCAAGAATTATAACATCTGCAACAAAACAACAGGAAAATGTCTCCTCGGCACATTCCAAAGTAAAGCTCAACCTGGGTCTTCATGAGAGGTCTTCTGGCCACAAGTTTTCCCACTGCTAACAGTAGTAGTAGTAGAAGGAAGAGCCTAACGTACAAACTGACCATTAGCATTTTACCTGTTGTGTTATGTACTCCTGTTCAGCACAGGCCAAAATAATGTGCTGTTAGAAATCCCAGCAACAAGGGAAGGCACTTCTACATTAGTGTACACATTCTAGCTACGGTCCCTGTAGCAGTATTACCAACAACAGAAATTTTTGTTGTTGTTTGCAATTCCCTCTTGTATAGACATCATCTTTGCCTGATGTATACAAGACATTTGAATTTCATCATAGGAAAGATTCTTTGGTACATCTGGTGGTTGTCTCATCAGCTTAACAAACCTGCATCTCATCTGCTCTAAACAAAAACTTTCACATCTCATGTTTGAAGAGGAAGTGGCTCTGTTGACCCCGAAGGTATTACAAGTCCCACCACGTCACAGCAAGCTTTAAATGGAGCACATTTTAAAAATATGCTTCAGCTAAAACATCCCAAGCAACATGCACACTGAGCAGAGTCTAAGTGCAAGTCTAACAGTCCTTCAGTTGTTCGAATGGTACCTTTGAGGTTATGTCAAGGCTTAATCTGATAATATTGTAGTAAATTAGTCTAAAAGGGATTCTTCACTGGCCACTTACAATGCAAATATCATTCCTCTTTTTGGACAGGGGTTAAATGGAGCTGTGGAGGAAGTGAAGAGTCCCATTAAAACAGGAGGGGTGCTCAAACAGTGAGAGGTCAGAAAAAAAAGTAGGGCTTGGAATTTATGATGTCCAGGAGGCTTTGGTGTCATAGCCACTGCACTCAGCTTTATTGGGCTGTCTCCAAAAAGGCTGCCGGGTAGTGGAGCAGGTTTTAACTAGTTTAGACAGATAAAGATCACCCTCGTTCAATGGAAATGAACAGCTGGAGGCAACGGTTTAGAATCCCTGGAAACAAAACAATCTGAAGGCATGAGCAAATTAACTCCATGAACACTGAACTGATTAAGCTGGAATATTCTGCAAAAAATTCTGTTTCTCCAGCTTACTGCTTCTCATGGAGAGACCACTCACTCCTAGTAAGAAAAAGGAATTATTTTTCTTGCATAATGTTTGTCAGGCACCAAAGACAGAGAAGCTAATCTTGCCAAACCAGACACACGTGTATATAAGCACATTCATAACTCATTAATAGTCACGATGGCCCACTGAAGTATTCCTAGCTCATTCTGCAAACACAAAAAGTGACACATGACATGCCCAAAGTCACCCAGAGAAGTCAGTAGAACTGGCAATACATTAATCTAGATTGCTCCAGGAAATTACTTTTTTTTTGGTAAGAGTTTGTATAATACTTTGTAAAGTCAAAAATTTAAGGGTTACCATGATAGTAGGGACCCCGCTGAAAGCATGAGACCAATAACTTTCTGCCTGTGCTCTGGATATCAATAATTGGGTCCAGGTAAGGATGAAAAGGTGACTAAGAAAACCAAGTTCCTATACACCCTATAGCAATGAACACAAGATACATTCTTACAGGAGGTCTCTACATGCCCCAGGAACTTTGTAGGGACATACAAACTTTGGAAGCTGCTGTAGTTCACAAAATCAACTATTCAGTACAAAGTATTTTTCCTAATATCATAAATCAGTCCTCACCAAGCCTGAAAAGTCCACTGACTTGCTGCACTATTGAAATAAGTTGCATTCATTGTGGTTTTACCGTCAGGACTTAGTATGAGAAACATTCAGCATTTAAATGGTTAACTCCACACTGCCTTTCTGGCTAAGGCTGATAATGCCTCTGAGCTCAAGGTCGAAGGGCTGAGATAAAGGACTATAAAGGAGTGAAAATTAGCACATTCCCTGGAGCAGACTGGAGCTTGTCCCAGGAGACACGGTTCCCCACACCCGCCCTCCCTGTCCTCTGCCCCAGAGAGCTCCTCGTTGCTGCTGTCGGTCACTGCGACAGATCAAGATATAAATCCTGCACTGGAGAGGCCTCCCAGGTCACACTGCTGGAGGGTGCTGGTGGAAAGAGTAGAGGGGTTTGGTCGCTTGGCCTCATTTCCACCAAACTGTTACGGTCTGGAAGTGATGTTTATGGGCATTCCACATGACTGATAATGAATGCAGGTGGCTGCTTGGATGCAACCCTTGTTGACCACGGAAAAATAGGGAGATGCATAGAAGCAGCAAAAAAAATATTTTTAATGGAATAAGGCTCCAGAAATATTGTTTTCCCAGCTTTTTTCAGTGAAAGCCATGCTGTGCACTGTACAGGGAATTTACAGCTGTGCCAAGAGATCTATAGACTGAAGAGAGAGAGAAATGGAGAATTATGGTGCTGCAGTTGCTGCAGTATGGGGTAGTGTCTGTCTTTGCTTACTGATTTCAGCAGGACCAGTCATGGGAAACATTGTTTTCTGAAAACAAAAACCTGTACCTTTCTATTTAACCATCCACTGTTGGTAGTGAGAACCGGACAGGACCCCTGGTTTTCTCCTTCTTGCCTCCTTGCTTTCCTCCTTGCCAAGCTGAACAGACAGAGCAGACACTGGCATCTGCAGTTCCCCTTCCCAAGGTTTGCACAGGAAGAATACAGGGGTTGTCCTGGATAGCCTGTCCCAGGCAGCAGAGAGCTACAAGGGGGCCACAGCAAATCACATCAGCACATTAAACCAAAAATCAGCCTTGTGCGGATCTTGCCCAGCAGTCTTACAGCTGGCTGAATGAAAGAAATGTTAACAATCACTGCCTGATGCCAGCTCCTCTCCAGGCCTCCTCCTCTTGCCTGCTGTGGGCTGTGGAGCGTAGCTCCTCTTATGCCTCAGCCTTGGCCATTAAAACACTGTGCGTGTTGCCAGTAATGCTATCCTTGCCAGTAGCCTGGACAATTTTGTAAGGTCATCTTTCTAGGAACGTTTGGGCTCAAGATGCCTAGATTCCTGTCATTTGGAGGGTCTCTTTTGGCCAAGATAGAGATTTAAAAACCTTCACAGATATATATTGCCAAGTTACACCCTTCTTACATGATATACCACTCGAACTCTGTCCAATTTTCCACTGCTCACCTTCCACAGATCTTTTAGCAACAGCCAGTGCATTTATACGTACAATCTTCTTTCAAAGCCTTCCATGGAATTTATTCTGCTCATGAACTAAGCTCTCGTGACTGCTCTAAAGGTTAAGTTAAACTAAACAGTTAGTCTATGCGATGTCCACGTGGCTTAACAAACAGGAAATGGGCTGTCCTATATGGGACACTGCCAGTGAGAATAACCTTGAGATCTGTCCCTCCTGAAATCTGTTGAATCCTCAGGCCCCTGGGTATGTTATGAAGCAGTGCCTCTCACTATGTGACAGTTACCCTGATGGGGACTGGCAAGCACCCTCTCTCTGCCTTGACATGATGCCTTTACAGGTGGTGATAGGGAAGGGAGTGGAGTGGCAATAGCGTTCCTTTTCGAAGATGCTTAGGTCTCCATTAATACATTCTGAGACACCAGAGTAAAACTTTCAAGGTACTAACGTGATTTTCCATTCCACTACACACCAAAAGGGTCAAGATGAAAGAGCTTTCCCATTCCTTATTGCCTTTTTATCCTGCAGCATGACCTTAATCAATCCAAGGCTAGGGACCAGGAAACATTTTTGCGTAATTTCTCCTCCTTATCCCTCCCCTCCCCAGTGAATGATTCTACATTAAATCAGCACAAAGGTCAGTAGATTGATGGTGGCTTACATAGGAAACAGGTGAACTGCTGTGCACTAAGTTCCCAGCTGAGTACAATGACCACAATGTGTTTGCTGGAACAAAGGATGCCCTTTGTATAAAGTTAACTGTATGAAATGAACATCTGGGCAATTGAAACTGGATCAAAAAGCAAAAGATCCCACAGAAGAAAATGACGTGAGTGCACAATTATTGAAGAAGCCATGTGATGACTAGAGGCAATCAGTGACCTTTATATCATAGCATCAAAGTAATTGAAAAAACTGTATAAACAGAAATTACTTCATGCTCCCTAAAGTAGAGCAGAGAATTTTTATTTTTGAGATTATGCTAAGATAAGTTAAGACAGGCTAGCCCTAGATCTTGAAGCAGAGCCTCTAAATCCTTACATTAATAACTATTTATAAATTTCTCTTCCTATAATGGCCAATTACAGACAGGAGGGAAATATTGCTGTTAGGCTGCATGTACATCTCTGATTCAATTGAAAAGAGCACACTTAGACAAACGATCAGCATCTTGCAACATCATGTTATACAGAGAACAGATGCTGTGTGCTTATTGGAATGTAACAATCTACAATTTAGGAGAGAAATGGACTAAGCCAGGATGCTAACTGTCAAATGAAAAGCCACCTACAACAGAGAAGCTCAAGCTGAAATTTTTACACCAGCAGCTTCCTCCCTCTCCTCATAGTAAAGAAACCCAAATTACTCTGAGATTTGTATTTTAAGATTGGAAATAAGAATCTTAGGTTTTGGTGTAAGTAGAGGGTAAAGGAAGTGGTGAAAATGTCAGCGACTGGAATGTTAGAAATAAAATACACTTCAAATATTTCACAAAAGAAAAAAAACAGAATGGACATAATACTTTTCTCCCATCCTTAACTTTTGTAATGTGTAAGTTTGGACCTACTTTATACAAATTTCAAAGGTAAATTAAATAAGTTGAGATGCCAGGTAAGTGCTGACGTCACTAATGTGGCCATACCAGGCAGAAGTCATGTGTAAAGGGAAAGAACACAAAGACAGTGAGCACTCCGTTCAGCTTGCTCAAAAGTCCAGGCAAGCTGTGCATGCTTCTCCACTGAGCTGTGTGAAAACACAGTGCACCTCTGTCAGATAATATTCCAAGTACCTCCATAACTCCCCAAAGGTAAATGGTAATTAGATCTCTAGAAAACTAACTTTTTGACTTGGGCATGATCATGTGTTTCTGTTTGAGAAATAAGCATCCTTCGGGTTTAAATTCAAAGGAAATATTACAGAACACAGGACTGCTTGTTTGCAAAGACCTATCCAAATGTCCCTGTACTAATTTATTTTTTTTAATGAATTATTGATGATTTCTCAGCAGAGTTTAATGTCTATTCACAGAGATGACACAATTGCTTATCATAATTTGAAATCTGGTATTCATTTGACGTCTGTGCCTCAGCGCCTTGTTGATAAATTACAGCACAAAGCTCTGTAGGAACAAGTTCATATTCAATGTCTTTAAACAAAAACAATTGATGGTGCCTTTCAAGAACAGAAATGCATAGAAACTACAGTGGCTTAAGCTAGTTCTAAAAAGTAACTTTTAAAAACTAGTTTGGAGAGGGCATCAGGCCCTGCTGTGTAAGACAGGAAACAAAATTCATCTCAGCTAATTCTGAACTAATCACTGATTTAGTCACAGCTTTCCTATCTTCTGCTCTTCACGCCTGCGAAATGGAAATAATTGTATGTTCACACCTATGTAAAGAAGTTTGAGATCCTTCTAAGAAAAGTGTTATGTCTGTTCTCTGATTTCTAGATCAAAATCTAAAACATATGTCTTGGCAATCCTGGGTACTGGGAACCCCCCAAACCTGTCTTTACTCCCTGCATTGTCTTCTCACAGAGAATGGAATCAAGTTCAACACCTTAGTCCTGACTTGAAGGCTTGGCCCAAAACACGTAAAAGACTGCATGAAGCTCCAAAACGATGGATACAATGAACAGCTCTGCCTCTGTGGTGCAGAGGAACTCTGCAACAAGGATAACGTCTTCTCAAGCAGTTAGAATTTCCTTAGGGGCTGGTGCCAAATAGCGAATGGACTCCCAAATCAAGTGTCATCACAAACCGCTTTGCTTTCAGCTGCAAATACCAGGAATACTCCTTGGAACATATCCTTTTTAGCAGAAACACAGCAATATTTAAAGTTTAAAATTTCCCAGACTCTCCAGAGCACGTAAGAAAGCTGAGACATCTGGGCCAGATGTTATCCGAACGATGGAGACCCTGTTTGCCAAACCACATGACAGGGGGTTGGGTGTGTCGCCTACTGGGCACCTTGCTTTGGTCACGTAGTGGCAAGGTGTCACCATGCAATACTGCAGCTAAGGAACATGACTTCTAGTAGGGTCACACTGGTGGAGAACAATATTTCTGGCATATGTCTACAACTCCTTGTCCGATCCTTGGTCTCACACAGCAAATCACATCTGTGGCTGACATGCACTTAGTACACAGCACTGCCCCAACGCTGTGCTGCAAACATATGACCTGCAAGATGAGAAACAAGACCTGGGAGTCTCACGTGCAAGTGTCACACTCCATGTGTGACACTCATGTTATTACTGTGCTGCTGGAACGTGCTCAGGAACCAGTGTGAAGAACACATCAGAACCTGTGCAGTCATCACCACTGATTGACCAATCACTCAAGGCAATGAGCACCGAATACCTTGCTGTCATGCACAGCTTTGAATTCAGCTGCCAGAGGAAGGAGGGGCCTCTAGTTCATTCACTCCAAACTACGCTGAGAAGCCCTAGCTTTAATTTGAGCAGAAATCTGCAACGGGTTGTTTGCAGGAACCACACAGTGCCATGGAGTGTATCTGGATCCCTGGTGAGACTGGTAGTAACAAAACAATTAAGTTCAAGTCCCTAAAGAGAATTCTTTAAAAAATACAGCAGTTGCTCCCCTTACCTTTCACCCTCAAGTTGGGTGCTGTGTTTTATGCTACTTTTTATTCCCAACTTTCATTCATGTTTGAGTTGCATTCATTTTGCACATATACTACATGCCAAGCCAAGGCCAGATGCAGCCCTTCATCCCTGACAGCCATTATGTGAGCAGCATATACTATGTGCCCATCGACTGAGTGGGGCCCACAGATCCCACATCAGTGACACATTTTCAGCCAGCCACCATTTAGCTTGTTTCCAGCACAACCAGCAGTTTCCAGCACTACAGACTGCCAGTAGTGACTTGCCAAGTGCTGGGCAAGAAGCCTCCCTTTCATTTTATAGAAGCTGGACTTCTGTGTGATCTGTTGGGGGCCATTAACAGAGTTCACTGAAAACGTCAGTCAGAGGCTAGACTTAGTAGTCTCATGAGATTTGGGGCTGCCATGCTGAATTATGAGTCAGCAGTTCCTCCTCTGGCCCACTGAAATGTGGTTTAGGCAACAGACAATAGTGCAGTGTGAAATGAAGTCAATTCCACTCACATCTTGGAGAGGTATGCAGGAAAGTAGACCGTTAAAGTCCCTACCTAGTTCAGGAAAACAAGAATTCACCAACCTTTTTCTGAGTATCTGTTGGCAAAGTGCATTTTTGGTATTTGTCCCAAATGACTGACAAATAACAGATCTATTAGCAACATCTGGCAATCTCATCTGCAGACCTCTAATAAGAGAAACATCTTCAAACATGCAAGTGTCTGGCATCTTAGAGCACAATTGCTGGGCAAAGGCATATATGTAGCAGCACTTCAGTTCAACACCTTCCTCAGCCCAGAAGATGTTTGATGGAAATGCTCAGTGGAGAGCTTGAACAGTGCAGACTATAGAAGTTTATGGCCTTTGGGAATTTCGCTCCACATTCCCAGAACAATCTGCTCTTGTCTATGTCAGCTCCCAGAGGAGGGATAAACTGATCTGAAACCAAAAAAGGTGGACAGACTCACCTCTACTAACACCTAGCTCCTTGGGCTCAATTACTTACCACTTCGGGATGTCTCTGGCCACTTTGATATTTCTGACAATAACAGGGAAAGAACACAGACCACACTTCTCCAAAAGCACCATCTGTACTGTAAGAAATGAACATCGTCAAGCCTGTATGAAATGATCAGGCAGTTCCCAGAATAGCTCATAGCTGTGCTCACTTCCTCATTATTATTATTGGCTTTGCCATAGTGCCTAGGAATTTATCTGGGGTCTGACAGCCCAAGTTGTCCTGAGTGAGAACAAAAAGCCCAACAACCCCACAATCAAAACTTACGTTTTAAAACTGAAATACAAATTACCAGCAAAACCAGGACTCTGAGGAGCAGACCACAGGACTTCACTCTTCCCTTACTAATTTCTTTTTTTTTTTGTAAAATGCTTTGAAAAAAAGAACAGCGCAGCATACCAGAGCTTGGGACAGGGTACATCAACCCATGCACCAAGAAACCATGCTCAACTAACACGAGTCCTGGCACCACTGGTTCAAGAAGGACAGACTTGCAGTTTCAAACTGCTGGGCAGGAGGTCTCACTCTCCTGCCAGAAGAGCAGTAAGCGGACAGGTGGAAGGGGAATGCAGTGTGTTCTTCCTAGCTAGGTTTTTACTACAGTACTGGCACATGAAGTTCCCGACATGCATCGTAACATGCCTAGGACTCGCACAGTGGAAAGGGTACAAACCCAAGGTGAAGGAACAGAAAGTCTCTCACAGCAGCCAGGAAAATCCTTCAGAGGCTAATGACTGAAATACCACAACCTGTATATGCCAAATAAACCTAGCGCCACTTCATCACAACCTTAATGTTAAATCTGTTTGCTCTTGGAATGATAAATACACCATACTGTTTAGGCAAAAATTGCAGTTCTGATTCTGACCCAGGTAAGTCATACAGAACTTTGCCACTGACTTAATGGCATGGGCCAGACCCTCAAAGAGAAGGAGAGCCAAAAGCATAATCGCTCCTACCAAAGAGAGAGACCTTGGTCTATTCCACATAACAAATAAACTGCAGTCAGAAACCTCAGGAGAAAGCTTGTAGCCAAATCAATTCCTCAGCCATTTTAATTAATCATCTAGGAAGAGAAAGCACAGAATAGTCACTTCATGGACATTTATTTCTCATGCCAAAACTTATGTAAATGCAGATGCAACTTCAGCAGAGATCTCAAGAGGATGATGGCCTGATTCCAAATGCAGCTTCCCATGTCACAACATTCCAGCTTCCCTGTACCAATTTCATCCAAAAAGAGGTTTCCTGACTCCTCAGCCTCCCACAAACAACCGTCTCCTGCAATCCATTTGGTCTACGCAATGATATAGGAGCATTACTTCTTGAAGTCATGGTGCACCCACCCTTTATAACACTGAGGTTCTGATGCCCTGAGCTCTCTAGCTGGGTACAAATTTTATTACTACCACCAAATCGCTTCCTTTCATAAGACAGCTTGTATCAAGAAGTTAAACACCTATCTTAACTGCAAGCTTGATCCCACAAATTTTACTGACATGCAAAGTTTCTAGTCATGCAAACAATCCTTTTGCAGGCACTGTCTTGCCAGCCCCATTCATGTGAATGCCCCAATTACATGATTACATGAGTGAGCTCTAGGCAAGGCCCTGCTCTCCCTCTGCAGCCGGTGAAAACCTGCACCGGCTTCCACAGCAGCCCAGCCAGGAACTATGCTTGGAACTCAATTTGCAACAGCTAAGCGGGACTCAGCAACAATGAACAAAACGAGTACAACAATGCAACGACCTTTATCATTTAGCTTTCCTCTCCTCCGCGCTCTGATTTAATGCGAGCGTTATGCAATGGTTTTGCTATAGCAACAGCTGGGGTGATCGGCAGTAACCCCGCCACTGCCTGCTCCGCCGGTG